GACACCACCACACACACACACACACACATACACACACACACACACTCCTCACACTCACACGCACTGACCTTGGGCTGCCTCCCTCCTCCCTTTGGTCCTCAACCCTCTCCTGAAGCGAACGCCTTAAAAGCACCAAAGCACAGGACCTTTTGCATTCCCTCCCTAAAAGGCACCTTCTCACTATATACATATTTATATCCCTGGTAGCCATTCACGTTTGCATTTTCCCTAAAGATCATCCCTCAGTTCGTGTTCACCCTTAATAAACCAATTAGTTGTGGAGCAAACCTTGGGATTTAGAGGCAGTTTCTGAGCATGGTGGGGGTGCTTTCTAACCCCCACCCTGAAACCCGGCCCCGCGGTGCCCGCTCCTCCGCGAGAGGCAGCGCCATGTGGGACCCTCAGTCCTGTTCACAAACCCCTCCAGTCAGGAGGGGCAGCAGGAGCAGCCCCTGCCAGCCGGGAGCCCCCGGTACCAGCTGGCAATGCTCCTTCTCTAGAAGTTCCTCCCAATACTCGGTATTTTGGGCTCTGGGTCGACTTTCTCAGTAGCACCTGGTGCTGCTCTGGTCACCTGTGCAAGGTCCTGCTGTGCAGCGCTTTGTGCTCCTCTCCTAGAGCAGACACCCAGTGTTCCAACCAGGGCTCAGACACCCCGGGGCCTCTCTCGGGAGGAATCCCAAGGGCTGCTGCAGTGGGACCAGCAAACATGCCCCCGTGCATGGCAACCTGGTCACCTCCAGGGTGAGGACCACAGCTCGTGATAACCAGCAGCAAGGGAAGAGTTTAAACCAAGAGGAAAAAGGAGAGGTTGCTTCTTCCTAAAGAAACAGATTTGTTTTTGAGGACGGAGAACATCAGGAGGGGAAAATAGAAGCAGACACTTCACATCTCTCTGTTTCCTTGTGAAATCCTGTTTCTCAGGATTTTGAACCTTTTTATCCAAAAGATGAAGTGGTGTCTCCATCCTTACAGATATCGAAAAGCTGGACACAGTCCTGGGCAACTGGGTCCAGCTGGTCCTACTGGAGCTGGGGGGTTGGACAAGGGGACCCCCAGAGGTGCCTCCGACCTCCTCCGTTCTGAGGTCCTGTGCTGCTGTGCAAACACAGTTTGACTTCAGACCTTCTTCTCTGACCCTGGGGCTGGTTGGCTTTCACTGCATGGAAGGAGCTTGCAGAAATGTCCCACTGGTAGAGGAACAAAGACTCTGAAGGCCTCCAGGGGCTCTGTTTCGTGGGGAGCACCCAAGGAGTGTTTAGCATTTTTTTAAAAGCTGAAGATTTTGAACTTAGGAATTCCAGGCGTGTCTGAAGTCAAAGATATGAAACAACTTTGACTTGGAAATATGACTTCCTTCAGCGTGGATGTATCACTGATGTTGATTTTTTTATGCTGTTTATTTTTTCTCTTGAGATGTCATCATATTTTAATATCATTATGATTATTAACTTAAATTATTTTCACAGCCACTGCCAACAACCCTGGGTCTGAATTTTTCCCAGAGCTACAAGGAGGCTGAGACACCCAACAGGTCAGAGCAAGACCAGGGAGCTGGGGGGGCTTCTTCTGAGGTGCATTCCTGCCTCCCTGAAGCCACTTCCTGGGGTTATTGTGCCTAGAACTTTGCTACAGCCCGAGTTTGTGGCAGAAGTTTTGCTCAAAGGTTGTTAGCAAGTGAAAGTGCCCCAGTGGAGCTGAACCAGCTCCATCATGCAGAGGCCACTGCAGCTTTCACTGAGCTCTGCCGCAGTGATGGGTGGGATGGGGACAGTGTCTGTGATGGCCAGACATCTCTGGGAGGTGCCTGAGCCACTTCTCCTTCCCTTGGCTCTACCAGCAGGATCGGGGTTGGTTTTGGATCATTGTAGTAGATTCTCTCTGAGTTTGGGAGGGTAAACACTCCTGGGAGGAGCTCACAAGTGCTCTTGTGCCCCGTGGCAGCACTTGGGAGCTCCTGCCAGGTGCCAGTGCCATAAAACAGAGGAGGGTCCTGCACCAGAGCCTCTCAGTGTGAAACAAGGTGAGCTGGTGGGAGGACACCAGGGCAGGTCACTGGGCAGTCCTGTTGCTGTTGATATGAATTAAACTCAGGATCCTCCTCTGTATCTGTTTGGTCCTCACCCCGTAGATGATGGGGTTGAGCACAGCAGGCACCAGGATGTAGACGTGCCCCATGGTGATATGGACCACTGGAGCCAGGTCCTTCCCAAACCTGTGCACCACAGACAGCCCGATCAGGGGCACGTAGAAGGCCAGGACCACGCAGATGTGGGCAACACAGGTGCTGAACACCTTGAGCCTCTCCTTCCACGATGGCAGCCCCAGCACAGCCTTGAGGATGAGCAGGTAGGAGAGGCAGATGAGGAGGGCGTCCAGCCCCATGACCAGCAGGATGGCAGTCAGGCCATACACCACGCTGGGGGTGGTGCTGGCACAGGCCAGGTTCATCACGTCCTGGTGCAGGCAGAAGGAGTGTGACAGCACCCGGGAGCTGCAGAAGGGAAGGGGCTGGAGGAGCAGGGGCAGAGGCAGGAAGAAGAGAACCCCCCTGGCCGTGGCCAGCAGCCCGATCCTGGCGGTGGCAGCGTTGGTGAGGATGGCAGGGTGTCTCAGGGGGTGGCAGATGGCCACGTACCTGTCCACGGCCATGGCCAGCAGGACAGTGGACTCGATGGCCGAGAGGGTGTGGATGAAGAACATCTGGGCCAGGCAGGCGCTGAAGCTGATCTCCCGGCTGTTGAACCAGTAGCAGGAGAGCACCCGTGGCACGGTGCAGGTGGACAGGGCCAGGTCGATGGCAGCCAGCATGCAGAGGAACAGGTACATGGGGGCGTGCAGGCCGGGCTCCAGCCGCACGATGCACAGCACGGCGCAGTTGCCGGTGACCGCCAGGAGGTAGATGAAGCACAGCAGGGTGGCCATCCAGAAACGGGTGCTCTCCAGCCCCGGGAGGCTGGCCAGGAGGAAGTGTGGGCTGAGGTCAGAGCTGTTGGGGGAGGCCATGGCACCTGGAGGGAAGAGCAGTCATGCCAGACCACGGGGCATCTCCTGCTGCAACACAGAGACACAGCACCTTGCTCTGTCATGTCATATCAGTCATATCATATCAATCATATCATATCATATCATATCATATCATATCATATCATATCATATCATATCATATCATATCATATCATATCATATCATATCATATCATATCATATCATATCATATCATATCATATCATATCATATCATATCATATCATATCATATCATATCATATCATATCATACCAATTATAGCATAGCATAGCATAGCATCATATCATATAAATTATATAATATAATATCAATCATATCATATCAATCATATCATATCATATCATATCATATCATATCATATCATATCATATCATATCATAATTCCCCCCTTCCCCTCTCCTTCCCAGCCTCTCTCCTCCTCCCCAGGAGCTGCCTCTGACCCGTCTCACCCTGCTCTTCCTGTGCCTCTCAGGGAACAGATCCATGGGAAGTGCTCTCAGGATCCCACGGCACCAAGCCCAGAGCTCAGGGCCCCGCAGAGCAGGAATTCACAGCCCCCCCTGCTTCATCTCTCTCCCCTTTCTCTCACACAGAGTTAAGCTGCACTGAGGTTTCCCCTTCCCCAGGAGCCACACGGGGCTGAGCTCACACTCCTCAGCTCCTACCTGGTAGGTGTTCCCAGGTCCTGAGAGCTCCGCACCCTCCGGCTGGGAAGCAGATGTGGAGGCAGCTGGAGCTGGGCTGAGGGCACCAGCTCTCCAGCAGTGCCAAGCAATGTGCTGACGACTCCCCTGCCCCTGGATGTGCCCTCACCCTGCTGGGACACGGGCTCCTGCAGTTTGGGAGGGTGGCTGCAGCCAGGACGCATGGACATCCAGGAGCACTCCTGGGATTCTCCCGGGCGCTGTGCAAAGCTCCTGCCCGGGGAGCAGCTCCAGCACAGCCCTGCTCCAGGCTCTTCTGCTGCCTGCTCTCTGTCTTCCCTGATCCTAATCTTCCCTCTGATCATGAATGGCTCCCAGGGCCCGGCTGGACCTCAGGCATTTGGAGCCAGGAGCTCCCATCTCTGCTGTCTCCATGTAGCTGGGACCTGCACCCCAGGAGCTGCTGAGCTCAGGCAGAAATTCCTGGGCTGGGCTGGGCTGGGTGCTCAGCAGCATTTCAGCCTCTGCCAGCTCCCCTGGGGATCCTCATCAAAATCCTCATTAGCAGGACACAGAACAAGCAGTGGCCTGGGAATGCTCCCCTTGGGAAACTTCCCCTGTGATTTCAGAGCTGTGTGTGTCCCTGCTCATGCAGGGAACTGGAGCTGGGTGATCTGTGAGGTCCCTTCCAGCCCAAAACCACCTTGTGGTTCTGAGTTCCCTCACTGCCCCTTTCTCTCTGCTCCAGGCACAGAGACATGTGGATCAGACCAGGCAAAGACACCAACCCTGGTTAGTGTGGAGGGAGCAGCAGCCAGAAATGGGCCAGCTCTGGTGTGCAATCATAGAACCTTGGAATCATGGAATGCTGGGTTGGAAGGGACCTCAGGGGCCACCTGGTCCAACCTTTCTGGGCACTGCTCCAGTTGGTCTGAGGTGGCTGAGACTTCAAACTGCCCCATGTGGGGGAATCCACCACTTCCCTTGGGAGACTGTTCCAGTGTTGGACTGTCCTGATGGGGAAACATTCACCTCTTGTGTCCAATGGGAATCTCCTCAGGAGCAACTTGTGCCCATCAGCCCTTGTCTTCTCCATGTGATCCCTTGTAAACAGGGAGTCTCCATCTTCTCTGCAGCCACCCTGTAAGGACTGGAACATGGGAATAAGGTCTCCCCAAAGTCTCTTCTCCAGGCTGAACAAACCCAGTTTTCTCAGCCTCTCCTCATCTGGCAGGTCCTCCAGCCCTCTAATCATCCTGTTCCAGTACCCACTGCAGCTTCAACAGCCCTGATGGACACTGCCCTTTTCTTTCTGTTGTCCACCATTGTCCAAACTGGCCAAACTACAGCTTAAGACCAACAAAAACACAGCTCCACAATTCGGGGGCATGAAAGGTTTGGGGTGGAAGCAAAGCCAGGAGGATCATGAAACCTTCTGCATCCTACAGCAGGTCTGTTCAACTGGAGAGGAGGAGACTGAGGGGGGGTCTCCTCAAGGCTGAGCAGGATCTCCAGGGGGGTCAGCAGGGGGGGACCAGTCTCTTCCCAGCAGTGCCCAGGGACAGGCCAAGGGGCCATGGGCACCAGCTGGAGCACAGGAGGGTCAGGCTGAACATGAGGAGGAACTTGTTGCCTGAGCCCTGGGCCAGGCTGCCCAGGGAGGCTGTGGAGGCTCCTTCTCTGGAGACATCCCAGCCCCTCTGGAGGTTCCTGTGGGACCTGCTGGAGGGATCCTGCTCTGGTAGGGGGTTGGATGGGGGATCTCCAGAGCTCCCTTTCCATCCCAGCACTCTGTGACTCCAGAGAGTGGAGAGTGGAGACTCCGGAGAGTGGATTCTCTGTTATAAGCTGTCACCTCCTATCTGTGGAGACAGCCCCTGGAGACCTCCTCCTGCCACCCCTCTGAGACAGTCAGTACCTGGTAGACCCCAGCTGGAAGACTGCAGGACTTGCTCCATTATGTCAGGAAGTTCAGCCATCCCTGTTGGATTTCTGGAACCCCCTTTTCCAGCAAGAGAGCTCATCACACCAGAGCCCTGAGCACCACCCTGAGAAATGCCCAGTTCCTGCCATCCTATGCTCATCTGCAGCAAATCCTGAAGATTTTAAGCAGCTGCAACCCAGTTTCTCTGCATCAGATAAACAGGGGGAAAAAAACAACAAACCCAACCCAAATCATAAAAGGCTTCAGCAAGACTTGACCTTTTACAGTGAATAGTGTCTTTTATTGAAGCTGTTGCACACACGTGATGCAGAACAAAGGCTGGAACATCCTGCTTGGCAAGATGGCTCAGGCACACCACAAGGAGATGCAGGAGCAGCACAGGGTCCATCACTGCCCATGTGCATGAGATGAAGGTTGGACCATTTTTTAGGAGGTGCTGCTGCCCACTTAACAGGACCTGACCTGGAGGAGACCTCTGTGCTCAGGCTCTGGAGCTGAGCTCTACCTGCTGGGATGGGGGCAGTTGAACAACTAATGACTGGGATATTTGGAGATGCTCCCAACACTTGGCCCAAGCCCTGTCCTCCTGACCTTGCTGCCTGGGTGCTGTAACATGTGGGAACAGAACAATGACCCCCCCAAGAGGGTGGGTCCCCATGCTGTTGTCTGCCTGTTGGGGTTCACACAACACACCCTGCAGAGGTCCCTTGACCCACCCCATCGTGTGACTTGGGAAGAGGAAGCCACACACCCCATTTTCCTGCAATTGTCTTCCTCTGACTGGGGCCTCCATCTGTATCCATCACTGGCAGAAGGGCTTGGGGTGGCCACAAGCTGCTGGAAGGCACAAAAGCATCATGCGAGGGCGAGACATGGGAAGTCAGCTCTGGGTTGAGGAACAACATCTGAGCAGTTCTGCAGTTCTTTCATCTGGCAGTGACCCACGTGGATGGAGCACCAAGAAATCAGACCACCAGCTCTGGGCAAGAACCCAGTCCACCAGTGACCGAGATCCCAGTCCACTAGCACTTTCTAGCAGAACCAGTGGAGGAAGCTACCAGTCAGATTCCACTCTTCCTGCACAGTGCCCTGAGCAAAGCCTCACGGATGTGACTGGACTTTATGCTGTAGATAATGGGGTTGAGAGCAGGGGGAATGATAAGGTAGGTGTAGGCAACCAAAGTGTTGACCAGAGGAGGAAAATCCTTTCCAAAGCGATGGATCATGGACAGGCTGATCATGGGGATGAAGAACACTAGGACAGCACAAATGTGAGAAACACAGGTATTCAAAGCCTTGAGACACTCCTCCCTGGTTGCCAGGCCAACAACAGTTTTAATGATCAGGATGTAGGACAGCACGATGAAGATGAAGTCCATCCCCACCGTTGATAAGAGAATAATCATCCCATAGAAGACATTGACCTTGATATCTGCACATGCCAGGTTCATGATATCAGGGTGGAAGCAAAAAGAGTGAGAAAGCTCGGTCTTGCCACAGTAGCTGAGTCTCTTGAGCAAGAAGGGTATGGGGAGGAGGGACACCACCCCTCTCAGCAGAATGACCAGCCCTATCTTTACCACAGTGGTCTTGGTCAGGATGGCCGGGTGTCTCAACGGGTGGGAGATGGCAATGAACCGGTCAAAGGCCATTGCCAGGAGCACAGAGGACTCGATGAAGGACAGGATATGGATGAAGTACATCTGAGTGAGACAAGCATCAAACCCAATCCTTCTCATATCAAACCAAAAAAGGCCCAGGGTGGTGGGCAGAGTGCACAGAACCAAGCCCAGGTCAGTGAGTGCCAGCATGGAGAGGAAGTAGTACATGGGCTCATGAAGACTTTGGGTCTTCTTGATGATGAAGAGGATCATGCAGTTCCCCAAGAGAGCAACAAGATACAGAGCACAGAAAGGGATGGAAATCCAGTGGTGAAGGGCTTCCAGGCCAGGGATGCCCATCATGAGGAAAGCTGAAGGCTGATAGAAGGAGCCATTGAATTCCCACGTGGAATGTGAGTCATGCTCCATCCCAGCTCAGCTCACAGAACCTACACCTAAAACAAACCAACAACAGAAACTCCATGTAGTTGGACTCTCCACTGAACACAGAGGTGGGTAAAGACAAGAGCCACATCCCTCAGCCTCCCCACCAACCTTTGCAGATGCCCCCATGGTCTTTGGGACATTTGTAAATACCAGTGTCATATATGACAATGCTCTTGTTTATCCATTAAATTATAAAATGAAGGAAAGGATGGACATTTTTACTTAAAAAAAAAGAAGAAAAACTTATTTTTTCTTAACATGGAAGTGAAAACCTTCCTGGTGAGAGTTACTGTTCTGCAGTTGCATCCAAATTGGAGTAATAGAATCACAGAATGGCTTGAG